TGTCTGTTTGGTGGTCCAGTGCTGGTATTACCCACTACAGCTTCATGAAACCCAGTCAACTTATTACAGGGGATGTCTACTGCAACCAATTGGATACAATGATGAGGACGTTTGTGATTGGTCAATAGAGACAGGCCAATACTCTTGCAAGACAACACTTGACCACATGTCACACAAACAATGCTGCTCAAACTACACGAGCCGGACTTGTAAACTCGCTGTCATCCGCCATATTCACCAGACCTTGCATCAACTACCACTTCTTACAGGCTTTGGACCACTTCTTGCAAGGAAAAATATTCCATCCTCAATGAGCTGTGGAAAATGCCTTTTGCAATTTCATCACCACTAGCTCTCCAGGCTTCTTCAGTGTTGATATAAACAAGATATTGTTAAGATGTCAAAACTGGCTGGGGGCGGTGGGTCACGCCTGTAATACTAGCACTCTGGGAGGCCGAGGCGGGCGGATTGCTTGAGGTCAGGAGTTCGAGACCAGCCTGAGCAAGAGCAAGACTCTGTCTCTACTAAAAATAGAAATAAATTAATTGGCCAACTAATATATTTAGAAAAAATTAGCCGGGCATGGTGGCACATGCCTGTAGTCCCAGCTACTCAGGAGGTTGAGGCAGGAGGATTGCTTGAGCCCAGGAGTTTGAGGTTGCTGTGAGCTAGGCTGACGCCACAGCACTCACTCTAGCCTGGGCAACAAAGTGAGACGCCGTCTCAAAAAAAAAAAAAAGATATCAAAACTGGCTGGGCGCAGTGGCTCATGCCTGTAATCCTAGCACTCTAGGAGGCCAAGGTGGGCAGATTGCTCGAGGTCAGGAGTCCAAAACCAGCCTGAGCAAGAGCGAGACCCCATCTCTACTATAAATAGAAAGAAATTAATTGGCCAACTAATATATATAGAAAAAATTAGCCGAGCATGGTGGTGCATGCCTGTAGTCCCAGCTACTCGGGAGGCTGAGGCAGGAGGATCGCTTGAGCCCAGGAGATTGAGGTTGCTGTGAGCTAGGCTGATGCCATGGCACTCACTCTAGCCTGGGCAACAAAGTGAGACTCGGTCTCAAAAAAAAAATGTCAAAACTGTGTTGATAGTCTAGGTGCATACTTTGATTAACTTGTACTGCTTTTTGTTTGAAATATAATAAATTACACTTTTGATTTGAAATCAGACTTTTCATATTTAATGACCTAATATGATGCTGTTTCTCTGATAGCCCGGACTCACAGGTCCAGGAATCAAGATGGTGGAAATGGGAGTGGCATCACTCACCATTACCCTTAGTGACCCACTAACAAAATGTTTGCACCCTGTTCCTGTGACTTTCTGCTCTCCTGGCCTAGAGGTCTTAGTCCCAGAGGGAAGAATGCTTCTGCCAGGAGACACACAGTAATGATTCCATTGAACTGAAAGTTAAGGCACTTTGAACTCCTCATGTCTCTGAATCAACAGGCCAAGAAGGCAGGTGCGATGTTGGCTGGGATAATTGATCCTTACAACTAAGGGGAAAATGGACCACTACCCCACAATGGAGATAAGGAAGAGTATGTCTAGCATACAGGAGATGACATAGGACATCTCTTAGTATTACCATGCCCTGTGATTAGGTCAATGGAAAACTATTATATAACAACCCAATTCAGGCAGAACTACTAATGGCCCAGGCTCTTCAGAACTGAAGGTTTGAGTCACTCCACCAGGTAAAGAACCACACCAGCTGAGGTGCTTGCTGAAGGCAAAGGTAATGTTGAATGGGTAGTGGAAGAAAGAAGTTATACCAGCTATGACCATGTGACCAGTGACAGGGACAAGGACTGTTATTGTCATGAGTATTTCCTTCTTATTTTGTTATGAATACACACAAATACATGTATTTCAAATACCTTTGTTTTCTTCTCTTTCTGTTATTCCTTTATTGCATAACATAAGATGTATTGATTTTATATTATATTTAAGTATTGTTAATTTTAAATCATAGTATTTAAATGGCATTTAAGTCACAAGATACCAAGGAGAAGAGTAAACATCACTCAAGAACTTTATCTCTTCTTCTGGGAAAGGGATTAGTGTGTTTTTAGTTGTACTCAAGATAGTTATATCATGTTAGACAAAGTTATAACATTGTTATTGTCTTTATTTGGAGATTAAGTATGGTTTAAGGGGATGTGCATGGATGCCAAGTTAAGAAGAGCCTGATTTGTGATGGTTAATTTTATGTGTCAACTTGGTTGGGTCATGGGGTGCCCAGTTTTGGTTAAACATTATTTCTGGCTGTCTCTGTGAGGGTGTTTCTGGGTGAGATTGGAGTTTGAATTAGTAGAGTGAATAAAGCTGATTGTCCTCCCCAGTGTGGGTGAGCCTCATCCAATCCTCTGAGAATCTGAATAGAACAAAAACGTGCACAAAGGGAGAATTTGCTTTCTCTACCTGACTGCCTAAGTTAGGACATCAGTCTTCTTCTGCCCTCAGACTGGGACTTACACCATCAGCATTCCTGCTTCTCAGGCCTTTGGACTCAGACTGGAGCTACATTACCAGCTTTCCTGGTTCTCCAGCTTGCAGATGGCAGACTGTGGGACTTCTTAGCTTCCATAATCACATGAGCTGATTTCTCATAAAACTCTCTCTCTCTGTCTCTGTCTGTCTCTCTCTCTCTCTATATATATATATACACACATGCACACATGCATATATAAATACATTTATTTATTTGTACACACATATATACATATTCTATTATTCTATTGGTTCTGTTTCTCTGGACTACTCTATTACACATGGCTAGTTCCTTAACTTTCAGGTCTCAGCTCAAATGGTATTTCCTCAGAGAAGCCTTTCCTATTCCTCTCCATTGTGGGGGCTGCAAACCAATGCATTAAGGGTCCAGAGTAGGGATACTCAAACTGCAGCCCACGGGCCACATGTGGCCGCCCCCCCAGGACATTTATCCAGCTCCACTGGGTGTTTTTGCCCCCGCTGCCTGTCCTGCTTAGCAGCCGACTCATCCCGGGCCCACAGTGCGCATGTGTGGAATGTGCGCCGCACTCTCCAACGGCCCTCCAACGGTCTGAGGGACAGTGAACTGGCCTCCTGTTTACAAAGTTTGAGGACCCCTGGTCCAGAGGATAGTGAGTAGTGAATAAAGCAGCCAGTTGGGGATTGTGGGGAACCTGAGAATGCATGCTCTCCCCGAAGAGGGCTGCTGATACTTAGTTCCAGCTAATTTTTGCCATGTGGATATACGATTGAATGTTGCCAGATTGTCTATCAAGAGAAGCCATAAAAATCTGGATTTGTATGTGGAAATATTCTAATTGTTAGAAACTAGTAACAAATGCAGTTTTAAAAGATACATTAGAAATCAAACAAAACATATACGAGCCAAATTCATCCCATATATCCCTAGTTTATAACCTCTGCTCTATTACATCATTCTGTTTACTACTGCCTGAAATTATATAATTTCTCGTCTGTCTCATTTTCTTCAGAGTTTAAACTCCATAAGGGACCTTGCCTGTCTGTTCAATTCTGTATTCTCAATGGCTGGAACAGTACCTCACTCATAGTAGTCACTTTAAAAATAAGCATTATGGAAGTTCTCAAACATACACTAAAAGCAGAGATAATAGTATAATGAACCCCATGTACCATTACCTAGCTTCAAAAATTATCAATACTGTGCCATTTTGCTTGACCCATTTCCTCCACTGGCTTTTTACTTGATTATTTTAAAGCAAATCCCAAACACTGTGTTATTTCAAACCATAAATGTTTTAGTACATATAGACACTTAAAAAAATCATAACCACTATGATATTACTGCTCTAACAAAATTAACAGTAAGTTCTGAATGTCATGTAATACCAAGACCACATTAACATTTCCCCAATTGTCATATGGTATCTTAATAAATATTCGTTGAATAAATAAATGATGAACATATGAATATAAACATCTGGCAGTATACTTTACAAAGCTTTGAAACATGATCTTCCTTATTATTATAGAAACATTAGGATGACTTATCAGAAGAGCCTTTGTTTTCAAATTTTAAAAGGTGGAGAATTGGTTCAGCAAGTACTGTTCTAGTCATGCAGATGAAACCTAAAATTCCATAATGGATATTTATCTAAGAAAAATGAAGATGTATCTTCACACAAATACTTACTCATACAAGAATGTTTATAGCAGATTGACTCATAATAGCTAAGCACTGGAAACAAGCCAAATGTGTATCAAACAACGTATTGATAAACAAACTATGATATATTCATGTAATCTTACTCAGCAATAAAAGAAATGAAATACACAACAATATGCATAAATCTCAAAAATATTATGCTGAATAAAAGAAGTTGGACACAACAGTACATAGTGTATGATTCTCATTATGTAAAATTCTAGAGGAGGAAAAACTAATTTGCAGTAGAAAACTATAAGAATAGTCGTTGTCTGTGGGGGATGAGGTAGGGTGGGGTGTGATTGATTGGAAACGGGGCATAACAGAATTTTCTGGGGTTTTGGTAATATTTACAGGGATTTTAATTACACAGATGTGTACATTTTTCAAAACACATCAAATTATATCCTTAAGATTTGTGCATGTTTTTGTATATAAATTTTACCAAAAAAAAGAATGATAAAATATTTAGGTGGATATTTACTGATATTAGCTATTTATTTGAAATGCATCAGAAAAATAAGATGACTTGATGGAAGATGAATACAGGGATGGACAGGTGGATAGATATGTGATAAAGCAATATAGTAAAGTAGTAGAATCCACTACTGTGTTGGGTATACAGATGTTTACTATATCATTCTTTCAACTTTGATATGTATCTGAAAATTTTTATAATAAAATATTGAGGAAAAGTCTCATTAGTGGTTTTCAGAAGATGGGAGAAAAAAAGGGCTAGTTTGAGAACATATATGACCTTAGCCTTTCTGAGATTTTTGCTGAGCTGCCTCTCTAGCTGACTTTGGATGAACTGACCTCCACTCCCGGTTCTCGTATAAACTGGTAGCTTCTTGGCCATATCAAAAAGCATCTGCTTCTGAACCTCAGGTCTCTCTTCATTTTCATAGCGCTCTTTGTCTGTATAGGACAAGTGGAACTGAAAACAGAAGTCATAGGTAAGACTTTATTATCCAAGGTTCACAGAAGAAATTAAAAACAACAACAATAACTACTAAAATGAAAGTATTTGTTACCCACCCTTGAAGCCGAGGCACCAATTTGGTTCATAACTCTCTTGGACTAATTATCTTAATGATCTTATCTGGCTTTTATCTCAATCCTCATAACTCTATGAGATAGGTGTATTTTACAAATAAAGAAAATAAAACAGAGAGATTAAGTTCCTTATTCAAGGTTACATTCTCAACTAATAAGTAGTAACTCTGGGCCCCACACCCAATTACTCTGACTTCAGGACTTGTGCCCTTCCCATTAAACTATAATATGATGTTGCATATAGACACATGACACGTTGCTGCCAGGACCCTGTTGATGAGTCACCACGCATACTAAGTTGCAAATGTTTTTCATAGATGACACTGATGAGAAGCTAGATGAGAGTCCTTGCGACATTGTGTGAATATTCTAATCTTGCAAATGAGTAGAGATTGGGATATTCTCACTATTTGAGAATTTTTTAGTCTGGTATGGACCTCGTCACCACATTAGTGTCACCCTTTGCTAATCTTGCAAAAGATATGCCAACACTCTCAACCCAAATTTCTTCATTTGTAAAATAGAGGAAATAATACCTACTTCATAAGGTTGGTACAGAAGTGCTGGATAATAAGTAATTAAAAGACTCCTTTAGAAACCTCATTTTTTGCATCATTTAAAAATATTTGATATTGTGAATCTTTATAATTTTAATTCTTCTAGGTGGTGTTTAATGGTATCTCATTGTGATGTTATTCTGTATTCCTCTGATTACTAATGGTATTGAACACCTTTTCATGAGTTTATTGGCCATTTGGATATCTTTTTGTGAAATGCCCATTCAAGTCTTATGTCCACTAAAAAAGAACTGGGTTGTCTTTTTTTGTATTGATTTGTAGGAATTCTTTTTATATTTTGGATACTAGTCTTTTGTTGAATATTTTCTACCAGTCTGTGGCTTTTCTTTTCACTTCCTTTGTGGTGCATTTTGAGGGACAGAAGATGTTGGTGGGAATGTAGATTTATATCACCAGTTTGGAAAATATTGGCATTGTCTTTTTAAGCTAAATATATGCCTTCCCTATGACCTAGCAATTCCATTCCTAGTTATATACCCAAGAGAAATGAGTATGTGTATGTATGTATGTGTATGTATGTATGTGTGTGTATGTTAAAGTTTTACATATATATACACACACACACACACAGTTGGCCCTCCCTATCCGAGGTTCTGCATTCACAGATTCAATCTACTATGGATTACAAATATTTAAAAAAATACAACAATAAAAATAATACAAATAAAAAACAATACAGTATAACAACTACTTATAAAGCATTTATAGTATATTAGGTATTATAAATAATCTGGAGATTATTTAAAGTATATTGGAAGATATGGATAGGTTGCATGCAGATACTATGCCATTTTACATAAGGGACTTGAGCATCTGCAGATTTTGGTAACTGTGGGGGTCCTGGAACCATTCCCCTGTTGATATTGAGGATAGATACACACAGCCAAAAGACATGTACAAGAATGTCCATAGCAGCTTTATTCATAATAAAAAAAAAATAACAACCCAGGTGTCCTTCACCAATGGGTGACTGGATGAACTAACTATGATAAAAGGGAAGAACTAACAGCAATAAAAGGAAATGAACAACTGAAAAATGCATCAACATGGATGAATCTAAAAAACACTATTTGAGTGAAAGGCTTACACAGAATAGTGCATACTATGATTCCTTTTTTATGAGGTTCAAAAACAAGCAAAACTGATTTATGGTGATGTCAGATTAGCGGTTACCTCTCAGACGAGGTTAATTGGAAAGGGGTATAAAACATGTTTTATGAAGCCAACTTCACCCAGATACCAAAACCAGGAAAGGATGCAGCAAAAAAAGAAAACTATAGATGAATATCGCTTATGAATATAGATGCAAAAATTCTCAACAAAATTCTAGCAACTGAATTCAGGTGCTTATCAGAAAGATAATCTATCATGACCAAGTGGGCTTCATCCCAGAGATGCAGGGATAGTTCAACATATGCAAATCTCTAAATGTAATTCAACACATAAATAGAAGTAAAAATGAAGACCATATGATCAATAGAGGCAGAAAAAGCATTTGACAAAATTCAGCACCATTTTATGATAAGAACACTCAACAAAATAGGCATAGACGGGGCTTACCTAAAAATGATACAAGCCATATATGACAACCAACAACATCATACTAATGGGAAAATTGAAGCATTCCCACTTAGAACTTGAACCAGACAAGGTTGCCCTCTATCACTGCTTCTATTCAACATAGTGCTTGAAGTCCTAGCCAGAGCAATCAGACAAGAAAAGGAAATCAAGGGCATCCGAATGGGGGCCAAGAGGTCAAACTATTGCTGTTCGTTGATGAGATAATTTAAATGATCTAACTTTAAAAATTGGAAATATATAAACTCACTCTGTTTTATTTATTTAATTAATTTTTTTTTTTTTTGAGACAGAGTCTGCTTTGTTGCCCAGGCTAGAGTGAGTGCCGTGGCGTCAGCCTAGCTCACAGCACCTCAAACTCTGGGCTCGAGGGATCCTCTGCCTCAGCCTCCCGAGTAGCTGGGACTACAGGCATGTGCCACCATGCCCGTAATTTTTTTATATATATATCAGTTGGCCAATTAATTTCTTCTATTATAGTAGAGACGGGTCTCGCTCTTGCTCAGGCTGGTTTTGAATCCTGACCTTGAGCATCCGCCGCCTCGGCCTCCCGAGAGCTAGGATTACAGGCGTGAGCCACAGCGCGGCCTATTTATTTAATTAATTTTTTTTTTTAGAGAGACAGATGAAGTCTTATTTTGTCGCCAAGGCTGGAGTGCAGTGGTGTGACCATAGCTCGCTCAAGACTTGAACTGCTGGGCACAAGCAACCCTCCTGTCTCAGCCTCGCAAACAGCTAGTACTACAGGCATGCGCCACCACACTGCTGTGGCCAAACACTCTATTTTAAGAACCATTAACTAGTAAGGTATTTTTATGGTATTATATCATTCTCCAGTAGAGTGAGGATTAAGTCTCCCCCTGGGGTATGTGGACTGTGTAGGGGCATTTGGGCTGTCACAATAAGTGTGGTGTGCTATGGGCATTTAATCTTTAGCCCAGTGTGCTAAAGATTTTGCAATGAACTGAACAGATGCACATAACTAAGAATTTTCCCAACAAAAAGGCAATAAATCAATGTGATAAAATAGTACCTAAATATTATAAATTAATAGAAAAACAACTGGTTATTTTTTTCTTAGAAGAATAATTATACTGACTAACACAAAAGTATAAGGTTTTAAAAAATTCTTTTTAACTTTGATAATTAAAAGCAGTACCTAGGGTAGCACTTTAATTTTTGGCAGCAGCACAATTCACAATTGCAAAGATGTGGAAACAACCCAAGTGCCCATCAATACATGAGTGGATTAATAAAATGTGGTATATGTATACCATGGAGTTCTACTCAGCCACCAAAAACATTGGTGATCTAGCACCTCTTGTATTATCCTGGATACAGCTGGAACCCATTCTACTAAGTGAAGTATTCTAAGAATGGGAAAAACAAGCACCACATATACCCACCATCAAATTGGTTTTAACTGATCAACACTTAAGTGCACATACAGCAATAACATTCATCGGACGTTGGGCAGGTGGGAGGGGGAGGAGAGGATGGGTATATACACACCTAATGGGTGCGGTGCACACCATCTGGGGGATGGACACACTTGAAGCTCTGACTCGGGTTGGGGCAAGGGCAATATAGGTAACCTAAACATTTGTACCCCCATAATATGTTGAAATAAAAAAGAAAAATAATTTTTGGGATATCCTTTGGAATATAACTTTACTATGGTACAGTGTACCTACTTGAAGGGCACAGGCAGAATTGTTTATATTTGTATGTGATAAATAACTTGTGGTTATTCAACAGGTTGGCTTTGGTTTGGAATAAGATACCAGGCCTGGATGCCCTATTTCTGGCACTAACCAAGCCTTATCAAGAATTAGAATGCAATGAGCCACTAAATGCATTTTGGATGGGATGGCTGATGATATGTTGTGATGTATCTGGTATTAGAGAAATTAATATTGTGGCTATTCAATAGGACCAAATAACTCTCTTTTTCTTTTTACAAACTAAAAACGATGAAGATGTGGTCTTTTTATTTTTTTGAGACAGAGTCTCACTTTGTTGCCCAGGCTAGAGTGAATGCCATGTCATCAGCCTAGCTCACAGCAACCTCAAACTCCTGGGCTCAAGCAATCCTTCTGCCGCAGCCTCCTGAGTATCTGGGACTACAGGCATGCGCCACCATGCCCGGCTATTTTTTCTCTATATATTAGTTGACCAATTAATTTCTTTCTATTTATAGTAGAGACAGGGTCTCGCTGTCGCTCAGGCTGGTTTCGGACTCCTGACCTCAAGCAATCCGCCCGCCTCGGCCTCCCAGAGTGCTAGGATTACAGGCGTGAGCCAGTGCGCCCGGCCAAGATGTGGTCTTAAATGTTAGATATTTGCAGTGCTTGTCTAAATCCTATCATGTCACCCAGTTTAGGCCTATAAGATTTCTAATTGATCAGCGTTTCTACTGGCTTGCAAACTTCATAAGTAATGTGAAGGGGACACTTATTTTTATTGAGATAAAATTCACATAACATAAAATTCCATTTTAAAGTATACATTTTGTAGTGTATAATTCAGTGGCATTTAGTACATTCACAGTGTTGTACAACCACCACCACTATCTAGTTCCAGAACATTTTCATCTCCCCAAAAGGAAATCCCGTACCCATTACAGGGTCATTCTCCATCCCTCCCTATCCCCAGACCCTGGCAATCACTAATCTATGTTTTGTCTCTGTGGATTTGCCTTTCTAGATATTTCATATAAATGTGATCAAAACTACGTGGTCTTTGGTGTCTGGTATCTTTCAATTAGCATAATGTTTTAAAGGTTCATCCATGTTGTAACATACATCAGTACTACATTCCTTTCTCAGGCTGGTTTCGAACTCCTGACCTTGAGTGATCCACCCGCCTCGGCCTACTAGAGTGCTAGGATTACAGGTGTCAGCCACCGTGCCCGTCCTAGAAGTTCTTTTATATTCTGGATACTAGCTCCTTGTCAGATATATGATTTGCAAATATTTTCTCCTATTTTGCCTTTTCACTCTGTTGACTGTGTCTTTTGATGCATGAAAGTTTTTAATTTTGATGTCCAATTTATGTATTTTTACTTTTGTTTCCTGTACTTTTGGTGTCATATCCAAGAAATCATTGTCAAATCCAATGTCATAAAATTTTTCCCCTGTGTTTTTTCCAAAGAGTTTTATAGTTCTAGCTCTTATGTTTATGTCTTTGATATATTTTAAGTTAATTTTTGTATATTGTGTAAGGTAAGGGTCCTACTTCATTCTTTTGTATGTGGATATCCAGTTTTTCCAGCAACCCTTGCTGAAAAGACTATCCTTTCTACATTGAATGGTCTTAGCATCCTTGTTGAAAATTTCTGACCATATATATGAGTGTTCTTATTTCTGGGCTCTCTATTTTTCTATTGTATTCCATGGGTCTATATGTCTGTCTTTATGCCAGTAGCACATCGTTTTTATTACTGTAGCTTTGTAGTAAGTTTTAAAATCAGGAAGTGTGCAATGCCAACTTTGTTCTTTTTCAAGATTGTTCTGGCTATTTGCAATCTCTTTGAAAGTCCATATAAATTTTAGGATGGAATTTTCTATTTCTGCAAAAAAATATCATTGAGATTTTGATAGAGATTGCATTGAATTGATTAATTTGGGTAGTACTGACATCTTAAGAATATTAACTCTTGTAATCCATGAACACAGAATGTCTTTCCATTTATTTGTGTCTAATTTCTTTCAGCAATATTTTTTAGTTTTTAGTGTACAAGTCTTTCACCTCCTTGGTTAAATTTATTCTTAAGGATCTTATTCTTTTTGATGCTATTATAAATAGAATTTTTAAAATTTTCCTTTCATTGTTAGTATATCAAAACAATTGATTTTTGTATGTTGATATGCTGATTTTATATACTGCAACTTTGATGAATTCATTTATTAGTTATAACCGGTTTTGTGGGTGTGTGTGTGTGGAATCTTTTTGGCTTTCTATATATAAGATCATGTCATCTACAAACACAGATAATTTTACTTTTTCCCCGTACAGTTTGGATGCCTTTTATTTCTTGTCTTGTTTACTTACACTGGCCAGAGGAAGTGTTCTTTCCTTTATTCTTTTTGGAAGAATTTGAGAAGGATAGATGTCATTGTTTCTTAAATACTTGATAGAATTCATCTGTGATGCCATCTGGTCCTTGGATCTCGTTTGCTGGTAGATTTTGGATATTAATTCAATTTTTTTACATGTTGTAAGTCTATCCAGATTTTTTATCTCTTCTTGAGTCAGTTTAGGTAGTTTGTGTCTTTCTAGGAATTTTTCCATTTCATCTAGGTTATCTAATTTGTTGGCACATAGTTCTTCATATTATTTTCTTACAATTCTTTCTATTTCTGTAAGGTTGGTAGTATTGTCCTCATTTTCATTTCTGATACTAGTTATTTGTGTGTGCTTTCCTTTCTCCTTCCCCTCTCTTTTCTTCCCTTCCCTCCTTCTTTCTCAGTCTAGCTAAATGTTTGTCAATTTTATTAAGCTTTTCAAAGCTTCACTTTTTGTTTTGTTATTCTATTGTTTTTTATTCCCTATTCTGTTTATTTCTCTTTTAATCCTTATTATTTCCCTCTGTTAACTTTGGTTTTAGATTGCTATTTATTTTCTGGTTCTTTAAGATTATAGTTAGACAATTTATATTGGGATATTTATCTTTTTTAAATGTAGGTGTTTACAGCTATAAACTTTCCTCTGAGCACTGCTTCATTGCATCCCATATTTTTGGCATTTTTTTGATTCATCTCAAAGTATTTTCTAATTTCCCTTGTGATCTCTTATTTGATTAATTGGTTCAGAGTATATTTAATTTCCACATTTTTGTAAATTTGTAGTTTTCCTTATGTTGTTTATTTCAGTTTCATTCCACTGCAGTCAAAGAAGATACTTTATATGATTTCAACCTTTTAAATTTATTAAGATTTATTTTATGGCTTAATATATTGTCTATCCTAGAGAATATACCAGGTACACTTGGGAGGAAGGTGTATTCTGCTATTTTGGAGTGGAGTGCCCTATACATGAATGTTACATGTAGCTACTTTATAGTGTTGTTCAAATCCTCTATTTCATTATTGATCTTCTGTTTAGTTGTTCTATCCATTCTTGAAAAAAGAATGTAGTATTGAAGTCTCCAACTACTATTGTAGAACTGTGTGTATTTTTTCCTTTAATTTTTTCATAAATCTTTGCTTCTTATATTTTGGGGCTCTCTTGTTAGGTATATATGTTTATAATTATCACATATTCTTCATAAATTGACCCTTTTATCAGTATATAATGTCCTTCTTTTGTCTCTTGTAACAGTTTTTGATGTAAAGTCTCTTTTGTGTGATATTATTGCAGCCATCATTGCTCTGTTTTGATTATCACTTGCATGGAATATCTTTTTAGAATCTTTCATGTTCAACTTATTCATGTCTTTGGTTCTAAACTTAGTCTTTTGCAGACAGCATAAAGATATAACTAGTACAAACTCTATGGAAAGCAATATGGAGATACCTCAAAGAACTAAAAGTAGAACTACCAATTTGATCCAGCAATCCTACTACCGGGCATCTACCCAAAGGAAAAAAAAGACATTTTCTAATAAAGACATCTGCACTTGGATGTTTATAGCATGACAATTCACAATTGCAAAGATGTGGAAACATCTTTGCCTATCAATACATGAGTCAATTAATAAAATGTGGTATATGTATATCATGGAACATCACTCAGGCACAAAAAAATAATGGTGAACTAATATCTCCTGTATTATCCTGGATGGAGTTGGAGCCCATTCTTCTAAGTGAAGTATCACAAGAATGGAAAAACAAGCACCACATATACTAGCCATCAAATTGGTACTAATTGATCAACACTTATGTGCACATATGGAAGTAATATTCATTAGGTGTCAGGCAGGTGAGAAGGGTGAGGAGGGGATGGGTATATTCACACCTAATAGATGCGGTACACGCTGTCTAGGGCATGGGCATGCTTGTAGCTCTGATTTGTGTGTTGCAAAGGCCATACATGTAACCTAAACATTTGTACTCTATAATATTCTGAAATCTTAAAAATTTTTTAAAAAGATATAATAGATCATGATTTTTTTAACCACTCTGCCAATCTCAGCCTTTTAATTGAATAATTTAATCTGTTTAGATTCAAGTAATTATTCATTAGGAAGGACTTCTACCATTTTGTTCTTTATTTTCTACATATCTTATATCTCTTATGTTCTTCAATTCCTACCCTTCTCTGTGGTTAATTTTATTTTTTTTGTGTACCATTTCGATTCCAGGAAGGCAAAAATTTATTTTATTTTACTTTTTTTGAGACAGAGTCTTGCTTTGTTGCCCAGGCTAGAGTGAGTGCCGTGGCGTCAGCCTAGCTCACAGCAACCTCAAACTCCTGGGCTCAAGCATCCTGCTGCCTCAGTCTCCCAAGTAGCTGGGACTACAGGCATGCGCCACCATGCGCTAATTTTTTCTATATATATTAGTTGGCCAATTAATTTCTTTCTATTTATAGTAGAGACGAGGTCTCGCTCTTGCTCAGGCTGGTTTCGAACTCCTGACCTCGAGCGATCCGCTCGCCTCGGCCTCCCAGAGTGCTAGGATTATAGGTGTGAGACACCGCCCCCGGCCATGGAAGGCAAAAATTTAACTCAGTATTTTTTCCTAATGTTTAGAGGCAGTTAAAATCTCTAGTATTGTTTTTTTCCTACTTTGGAACCTAACCTGTTTTAGAGTAGTTACACATTATAAATGCCTGATATGATCACAAATTCTTTCACAAACCCTTCTAAATGTTGTATGAAACATTTGGATTCAAGAGAACACAGTTTGAAAATGTTTGATTTAACTGCTGTATTTTTTTCTCAGAGTCTTGCTGGATACTAAAATAATAGTTTTATAGAATTGAACTAGATGAGGCCCCAGATTCCAAGTGGGTTCTTGTTTTTTGAATTATATTACCAAGGCAGGTAGTGGTGTTCTAGTCTTAAGGATATCCAGGGCTGATGATTTCACAAACTTCTTCAATAGCCTATCCTATCCTTAATTCACCTATAAGAGTCTTTCTTTAAGATTACCATGACTCTTTTGTCATGGTAGCAAATGGAAGTTATTTTCTCCTGTTATTGTCCTCTTCTTGCTTTATTGGTATTTCTACTTTCCTCTGTTCTTAGTCTTTAAAAAGTAACCAATATTCTTACCTTCTGGTTTGGCTGCTGTGGCAGTGTAAAGATAGACTTCCAGTAGGTCCAGGCAAAGAACACAAAGATGGCATGGTAGAGTATGAGGTAGATAACTGAAATTAAAACAAAATCAGTGTTTATATTATCTTTTTACCTAAGAGTTCAAAGAGACAAAGCTCAATGACAAATTTCTATTTCTTTTCTTATTATCACATATTCTCTAATATTATTATGAAATGTTAATTCTTAGCATTTTCCCATCCAGTGACACAAACAAGTCATAATGCCAAATTCTGAACTAAAGGCTTTCTGGAAGTTGCATGCCTTTAAAGTTGCCATGTGATTCTGGAAACAAAGGGGGGAATGTCCTTTATATGACAATGTAGGAGAAGCTATTTAATACTTTAGCCAATTGTCATTATCTCTGCCACTGTGGGTGCTCAAAGGTGATGATGATATAATTTACATAGCATTTTACAGTTTACACAAGCTTTCACATATTATTATCTCATTTAATTTTCTCAATAACTTTATGAGATAGGTAACAGGTTAAGTATAGCTGATAAACTATCAAGAGTAGTTGATTAACCAAAGTCAGACACTTAACACACTAATGTAGCCAGGTATTAAACACAGGACTTCAGACTCTAAATCCTAAGTTCTTTTCAGTAGCTCCAAAGACTACACATTTTTGAAGTGTGAGTTATACTTCTGAGAAAGTTGTACATGTGGCTCTCCACTGCCTTTCTTTTCATGCTCTTTGCCTCTTAGATAGCTCTTCTGATATGTGGAATTTTGGTATTCTGCACAGAGGTGGTTATAAAACTGAAAATCAGTTTACTGTTTTACTGCAAGTCCTTGAATGGCGTGGTCTTATTATTTCAATCCATCAGAAAGATTCAAGGGAATGATGTGACAAGACCAAAGTTAATAGGACTGAGCCATTCATACATTTATGGTTGAAATGGAAAAAGCCTTACTCTTTTTGCCCAGTGCTCAAAAACCAATACTCTAAGGCCTTTTATATGTGCTTGATTTTTGTAATTATAATATCTCATCTTAAAATTCAAGCAATATAAGGTGAAAAATAAATGTCCACTACATGCATACATCTTACTTCTCACTTCCCCATCCTAAAGCATAACACTTCTTTGGTGTTTGGTATGTATCATTCCAGATCTTATTTTTATATGTTTATATAAATATGTACACACAATAAACATGAAATGTTTGTAATATTTTAAATTATTCATTGTATTTTTTAAAAGGTAATACATTCACAAAGTTCAAAATTTGAAGGTATAGAATAGTATACAGTGAAAACTCTCTCTCCTATCACTGTCCCTCAGCCACCCAGTTACCCTACGAAAGAAACCAATGTCACAAGGCAATGACTTTATTGTGTATCCTTTCAGATTTTGTACATATAAAATCACCCAAACATTGTGTTTTCTCACACAAATAGCAGTATTCAATACACACTTTTTTTGCATTTTACTTCTTTTTCATTTACTGTAAGTTAGAGATCTTTACATTACATTACACTTAATAAAACTTAGAGAGAGTGAGCTTCCTCACCATCCTTTTAAAAGGTTACACGGGATTCCATTGCATGAAGGTATCATAATTTATTTAACCAGACTGTCTATGGTAGAAATTTAGTTTTTCCTCCCTTCTCTTGCTACCACAAATAATGCTTCAATGAATAATTTGTATATATGTCATCAGCACATGTACATAAAATATCTGTAGGATCAATTCCCTGAAGTGGAACTGCAAGGCTAAATGGTATGCCTTTTGGTAGATATTGCCAAATTGCCATTAAGACAAGTTGTATTTAATTTACATTCTCATCATCAATGAATGAGAGTGCCTCTTCCTCCATAGTTTAGCCTTTGTGAAGTGTTATTAGAATTTTTGATCTTAGGCAAGACCTTTAAATTGTTTCTTATTTTTATGTTTCCACTTTTCTTTTTTTATTTCAAAATATTATTGGGGTACAAACACTTTGGTCACATAAATTGCCTTTGCACCACCTGAGTCAAAGCTATAAGTGTGTCTGTCCCCCAGACAACACGCACCATACCCATTGGGTGTGAATTTACCCATCCTCTCCTACCCCCTCCCATCTGCCCGATCCCCACTGAATGTTACTTCCATATGTGCATATAAGCATTGATCAATTAGTACCAATTGTACCAAGCTCCCATTTCTGTATTCCAGGGTTTCATAGAATTATGGTTACTTTTTTGTAGATGGATAGAAAATGAAGGATGTTGAGGTTAAACGCATAAGTCAAGGTCATTCAATAGATTGCTAGAATAGGGACTGTACCACAGATTTCATAAAAATCTTAGAGTTGTGTGAGACCACAGAGATCATCTAGTTCAACCCTCTTATTTTATAGAGAGGCAAATGAGGCCCAGGGAGAGCAAGTGATTTGATCAGGATTACCCAGCAAAGGTATGGAAGCAATGGAACCAGAATCCAAGTTTCTTCATTTCCAGTCCAGAGTGCTTTTCCTTAGAGTGATTCTCAAAATTCAGTTTGCATCAAAATCATCCAGAAAGGTTATTAAAATGCCAATTGTCAATCCCTATACCAAAGATTCTAAATTGGTAGTTTGAGATAGAGTCCAAGAATCCAACAACTCCCCCAGGTGATTGTGATGTAGATGACCCACGAAAAACAGGCTCTTAGAGGCCATTTGGTTGTTTAGCCTACCATCTCAAGAAGGAAGCTCCTCTCCCACATCCCTGGAAGGCAATTACATCATCTCTACCAATACACTAAAGTGAGTATTCTTGAACTCCCAGCAGGCCTCATGATTCCCAATTTGTTTCTCTCTATATATGATGTTCCTAAGCTATGGTCCCAAATGTGTGCATGTCTATTCTTTTTTGCCTTAAAAATGTGCGACACATTTCTTTATAATTAATTCTTTTGTACCTAGAACAGTCATCCTTACAAACTGCAGGGATGCTGAATCTTTCCTTTCAAGTGTGATGTTGCAGTGGGGTTTCAGATCATTAGAGAAATCAAGCAGCTATGAACTATATCCCTGAACTGTTGCTACTCATTGACATTGGAATGGAAATGGGAAAACATCTTTTTAAGCAAATAGGCACAGTAGAGCCTTTCACTTATCTGGCAGTGATTACAGTCATGGAACATCAGAAGCTGCTAGAGCTATGATTATTGCATGAAAGCCAAAAGCCTTTCAAGTGTTTTTTTTTTTTTCTTTCTTTCCTTCCACAAGGTGTAAAGGTTTTCAGGGAGAGCAGAAATCAACCTTAAGGAACGTGACCAACTGCCAAGGAAAAATCCACTCAAGCATGAAGCTGTTCTGAATTTAGTCACTGTGTTGTGATGTGAATATTCCATTATGGAAATAGCTTCTGAAATGAGAAAGACTACTTGAGCTTTTTATCGGAAATAATGATTTATAAACACTTTGATAAAAATTATGGAATCTGAAATTACATGGTAAAAGTAGCATAAAGTTGTTGTTAGCAACATCTTTCACCAGCAGGATGCCCTTTCTAAGTGTTGCTTCCAGAGACTAGTAGAAAATGGTTGATTTTGTGTGTGTGTGTGTGTGTGTGTGTGTGTGTATGTGATGCCTGCATGTACCTTCTTGTGAGAATAAGAATGAATTCAGCAAGATTAGCACCAAAGTGGGGAAAAGAGGAAAGTAATGCAGTTTTACTATACATATTCAGACACATAAATGCTAAGGCTGTTACTGTGGCAATTATATAACACACCTCTTTTCTTTAAAAGCTATTGTTGGAAACTAGTTTAAAAAGACACTATTTTCTGTAATATCTTTCATACCAATTGATTACTAAAAGCATTTGGGTTGGTTGAGGGGGCTAATGGGGAGAGGGAAGTACCTTGCAACTACACACTATAATTCAAATAAGAACAGTAGCTGTTGTCTTAGCAATTGAAAAAGTCTTCATTAAAATCCCCATTTTGGCTCAGGATGGAAACCCCCAAATTATCATCAGGGCGAAATTTGTCAGCCAGACAGTCACATCTCCCTTTGTGCAGAACACTTAGCAATGAGGTATTGATTCTAATATTTGAGTTCTAATATTTGCCTTACTTTTTTCTTTCACTGCTTTACAGGCTCTAATAAAGAGCTAGACCTTGTCTCTCAGCTATCTGAAGGAAAAGAGAGAATGGGGTAAGAGGGCTATGTGTTGTGCTCAAGGACCTAAGGATATTTCACGAAAATACAAGAATTGCCAAAGAGTTGTTTCCATGATTTTGCTACCCCTTAAAATTCAAGATTTTCTCAAAATTTGTTTCCGAGGTTTAGCCAGCTACTCCCTAGAAGTATCCCTAAGGTGGGATCAAATTCTGATGCCAATAAGTGGCATTATGTTTTTAAAGGGCATGGTTTTCTTCATTGATATTCACTTCAAAAGTTAGGGTTATCTCAAATATACAAATTTCTCCTAATTATCCATTAGGCATCTACCATTTATCAATTTATATAACACTTTTATAAAGCTGATTATGTTTTCAGTCTATATCAACTCTTGGGGGTAATGAGTCTTATAAGTTCATCAGCCACTATGCAAAGCAGGGATTCATTTCAGTTGTCTTAAACTTAGTATTTTTAAGTTTCAAAGAACTTTCTAATCCCTGTGAATTGGGATTTGGTGAATGACACCAAGCTAAAAAAATACATAAACTTCATATGCTTATGGACTTGGATTACAGTCCCTTTCGGTTTTTGTTTTTTCCATGCTGAAAAGACCTTTCCTTTTTGGTCTGTTTTGAGCATTAAGGTGTTGTGTAAAATATAATGGATGTGGAATTAGATGACTAGAGTTTGAAGTCTGGATCTGCCACTTAATAACTGTGTGTTTTTGAGAAGTTGGTTAACCTTTCCAATAGTCATATGTGTATACATATGATCATATATATTTATATGTATGTGTGTGCATATATATATAATATAGATATAGTATTGTATATAATTAAAATACCTGCTTGCCAAGGTTGTTGTGAGAACTAATTGACTTAAATGTGTGAAAGTAGCTGACATACTCTATGGACTGAATAAACATCAGTCTTCTTCCTCTTAAATCTTGGTAAT